TTTTCTTCATCTTCATCCACGGCATCAGCATCGGATTCTGATCCACCTTCAGGTGGAGGTGGAGGAAATGGCAAGGGGATGGCATCAGCATTCCGAAGGGGCGAGTCAACAGGGAGATCAAGCTTCTTTATCAGGGACATCCAACCTAGGGAAAATCCCCTGTTGCATGCCTGCCTGACTTGAAGCTTATAATCTTCTGCGACGTCGGCCATACCTTGGGCGTAGGCCTTTTCATCGGCCTCTTTGATTTCGGCCTCTTTGGTGGCCAGAGCTTGCTGGAGTTCTTTCTCCGCTTGGGCCTTCTGAACCTCGGCCTCTCTTTTCTCGGCCTCAGCAACTTTTCTAACGGCCTCAGCAGCTTCGGCCTTCTCAAGAGCTAAAGTTTGAACTTTAGTTGCAGCCTCGGCTTGATCCTCCAGTTTTTTCATTTTTGCTTCAAGGGACTTTATCTCTCTCTTCATGGAAGATGCTTCCCTTTTCATATCAACCAACCTTTGACGATTTTCAAAGGATTGCATTGAAAATGAATGGGCATGCTGAATGGCCTGTAGGAAAATAGAAATGTGAGACAGTACTCTTAGTAAAGAACGGAAGAAAAAATCACAAGTACAAGTAGAAATACTTACTTGGACGGAGTGTTGGAGCATGAGAGCGTAATTCTCATACTCACTAAGCTTAGCATTTCGCTCCAAGTCATTCGGAAGGAGAAGAGCAGTGCTGAGGGCGACACCAACGTTAATGTCGTCAGCACTTTCAGTAGTCATAATGGGCCTATCCTCCAGGGATAGATCAGGGGCCCAGGGGACATCGGGCTTCTTTGAAACCGAGGTTGTCGCGGACGATGACCTCGCCTTCTTCGATTGTGTAGACCCTGAGGGTTGGCCCTCAACAGACCTCTTGGTTGAAGTAGAGGCTGATTTTTTGCTTTCTGCTAGTTTAGAAATCGGCAGAGCATCCTCAGCCTCGGCATCTGTAGCCCTGGCCTTAGGCTGAGCCTTTTTAACTCTCTTTGGTTTGGGTGGGAGCATTGATTGCGTTGGTGCGGCTTCGGCGTCAGTTGGAAGATCGGCGAGAAGGTCTTGAACGACAGGCCTTGGACGAACCATTTCGGCAGTCTTTACAAGCCTTCGTCGACGTTTACGTTCAGGAATTGGTATTAAGTAGGGGGCCGAGGTTGATGGAAGATCGGCTGGGTCAGATGTGGACTCTTGATCTGTTCGGGATGTAGAAGCAGTTAGGGTCGTGGCTGTGGGTGGAGAAAGACTCTTCTTTCTTTTTCTTGGGACGTCGGGTAAAGTGGATTTGTATGTAGGGATGAAGTTTAGTAACAATGGGGCCTTTCGTTTGTGGATTGGGAGGTTGAGGAGTGTTTTTAGATCTGTTCCTGGGAAGAAGGATTGACGAAAATTTTTCGGTGGCTGATGAAGATCTGCAGGACAAAGAAACAGACGTCAGAAATAAAAAAGTATTAAGGACTTAAATAAAAACAACTAAGTGTTGACTCAGGGCTCTTACTCTTGCCCTCTGTAATTGTTCGAGGAAGAGGGTAGAGGCGGACATCTTCATCTAGGCCAAATTCCCAATTTCCAAAAGTAATGAGAAAATCATCTCCAGCCCCCTTGTTGGAGTCTGGGAGGTCGGCTACGATTTTGTGCTGAGTAGATCTCGGTTTAAGGTAATAAACGAAACCCCTATCCTTCAGGTCAAGAGGGCACATGGTATAGCAGTATTGAAGGTCGGCCAGGGTAATTCTAAGGTTCTCTTGCCTAGCTAAAGCTATAATACCATTGATCACCCTATAGGAGTTAATAGTAAGTTGCATGGGGTTCAGCTTATAGAAATAAAGAACATGACGGAAAAGGGGATGAAGTGGAAGTCGGAGTCCACATTCGGTGAAAGCTACTATAGGGAAGGGCATCGTTTGGTCTGTGGGCATGATGGTATCACTGTCCCCAGCCAGTTTAAGATGAACATCGGCTGGGATGGAGAACTCCTGCCTAAAGTATTCAAGTTTTGTTGGGGTATTTACCCTGTGCCTCTACATACCCATTATGTCAATTTAAAATATGTTTCAGAAGATGGGCGTTTTTAGGAAGGGTTACAAAAACCTCGGTAAAGATCTAAGAAATGGCTGATAAGGCTTATTTCAGTTTTCCCTAAATTTGAAGGTTCTAAGCATAAATCCCAAACCTAAGAACTATAAAGATTAAGATTAAAGGCACAGATCTGGGGCAGAAAAGGAAAAAAAAGAGAATCAAGAACAGTGGCAAAGAGAATGATGAAAAAGTATAAAAGTTCAAGGTATAGCCACAAATTCAAGATACAAATAAATCCAAGACTTCGAACAAGATCAGTAATGGCAACAGGCAGACAAAAGCACAGAAAGAGAAATTGACATTGAAGGGAATGAATCTTACCGGAACAAGTGAAGCCGGGGCAATGTTCGCCGAGCTCAGAAATTGGTTGCAACAGCAAAGAAGGCTTCGCAAGAATGAGGGATTAAGAGCAGTTCCACGAGAGAGATTAAAGCGATGGGCAAAATCAGAGAAAAAAAAGAGCTTTCAGAGAGAGAAAGAAACAGATAGAGACAGAATGGAAGAAGTGAAGGAAAAGAAGAAAGGCAAAAAAGAGTTTTGTCAAAATTTGAAAACGGCGGCCAAAAAATAGGGCAATTATTTGCGGCCAGAGCAACGCACGCGTCAGACGGCGCAGACGAAAACGAAACAGAACACTTCCAGGCGCGTCCAGACCAACACTTCCATCAAAAGCGAAAGCAACGTGAAAAGGAACGGTTAGTTATATGCATGACAACTCATGCGGTCGGGAGAGTACGCACACACCACTCTTCTCCGAAGAGGAAACAGGGTTCGGGCCTTTTTTTGAAAGAGATAAGTTCTTGGCTAATAGTTTTTGAAGCCATGTACTTACAGAAAAGAGGTTGGCAAAATATCGAATAGATTCCATCACCGTCAAAAAGTGCCGAGTAATAGAACCAGGGGGGCAGTGTGGGATATATTTTCTGAATACCTGAACAACCGTGGCATGGTGACCGACGTGTCAGTCAAGGTGCCACGTGCCGCTGGTAAGTAAGCCGAAGGTAATCTCCGAAAGCGAACGGTCATCTCGCGAAGATATCGGAATCCGAGATAAGGGGCAAGAGTCCTAAGGCAAAAAAGGGGACTTAACCAAGATAAGGAATAAAGCTGCTTAGGGAGTTTTATCCTTATCTCTAAAGAGTCCAGAGTAAACAGGAAATTGGAGTTCATAGAAGTCCATACTTCTAGTGGGAACTTGGATTGAGTATATTATAAAAGAGAGGCACCCCCGTGGGTCTAAGGTATGCAATTTATGTTTTGAGTATTAAGTTTTGCACTTGATTATCTTTGAGAGATATACTGACTTGATCGTCGGAGTGCCCCCGGGTGGAAGAACCACCGCCGGAGCTTTTCCTTTCTGTTACAAGTTGCTAAAGCCATCTATTCTACCTGTGCTCTCCAGCAGATCACTAAACGGGCAGTGTGGTCAGATTTTCACCCACACATAAATTATTAATAAAAAGTAATTTAACTATTACATAAATTAAAACCTTAAAAAAAATTATTGTAATTATGTCTAAAATATAAGATTAATTGTATATTTTTTAAACTTTAGAGAAAGTAAATGTAATTTAACCAGAAGTAAAATGTAGAGTGGAACCATATAAAAGTGTGGACCATTAGAATAAATGGTTTCTGAATGACACATCAGTTCACATGCAAAAATGATTTGGCCCTTATCCCATCTTATTCAAACTTAATTTTTTTAAACAATTACTAGCCTTATTTGATTGAGATAAATATTGGTACCATATTGGACTAGCATACCACACTCCACAACGCTGGCAGTTTGATGATTGTGGGGATATATTTTCTGAGTATCAATACGTGGTTAAGGTGATGTTGACGTGTCAGCCGAGGTGCCACATGTCCAGGTCATGACGCCGAGATTACCTCGGCAAGGCCGAGGTTATTTCCGAAGATATCGGAATCCGACATAAGCGGATAAGGCACAAGAGTCCTAGAATAAGGAGGGACTATAGCATAGATAAGGATAACACCCTTAGGGAGTTTATCTTTATCTGTTAGAGAGTCCAGGATAAACATTGAGCAAGAGTCCATTGAATCTAGGCTTCTAGTGGGACAAGGATTGAGTTAATTATAAAAGAGAGGCACCCCCATGGGTCTAAGGTACGCAATTTACATTCTGAATAGTGAGTTTAGCAATATTGATTATCTTTGAGAGATATACTGGTTTGATCGTCGGAGTGCCCCCGGGTGGACGAACCACCGCCGGAATTTTCTCTTTCTGTTGCAAGTCAGTCAAGTGTCATCTATTCTGCCAGTGCTCTCCAACTGAATATTAAGTTGGGCAGTGTGATCGGAAAATCACTCACACAAGTTGGCGCCGTCTGTGAGAAAGAAAGAATAATAGATGGCCAGTGACGGACAGAAGGAAAAGATTGCGGACGACACTCCTGCTGGGAGTGGCAGACCTATCGACCTTGATGTCGAAGGAGACAACCGCAACATAGAAACTCGTGACCAAAATCACAGCAAGAAAGACGTCGCCCAGGAGGGCGACGTACTAAGAAACCAGAACAAAGCAAGTATTATAACGAAGACGACCTCCAAGTGTGGAAGGATAGATGCCTTCGAAGGGACGAAAAAGTTAAAGAGATGGCAAACAAATTGGCAGACCTGCAATCGGTCGTTAATTTTATGATGCAAAACAATGTCATGCAGCCACCGTTCCCGTTGCAGGGCACACCGATTCCAGCAGCCAATACATAGAATGGAGGGCAGAAACCAATCCCAGAAATCCCCCAGTATGCCAGGAGCGAAAGACACTCTCACTGGCCATCAAGGGAGGTCGGACGAGGAGAGTCGAGGAGAGAAGAGTCGCAGAGGACGCACCGCGCCAAGGAGGCAGACCCCAAAGAACATCGGCATATTCAGGGGCAAGCACTCTGCTTCGACACAACTTACGTAGAAAAATCAAAAAGGACCCACCATGAAGCTGAAAGTAGTATGCCGAAAAGACTGAAGTCAAGAGATAGCCGAGCTCCTGGACGGGGCAAAAAAGACTTGAGAGATTACCTCAAGAGGAAGCAGCAGAATGTCGATGCCGAGGTAACTTCCCCTAAAAAGCCGAGAACACCATTCTCGGTGGAGCTAGACAAATTTGAGGAAGAGATTCAGTATGCCGAGGTTCCAAATTTACGATGGTAAGTCGAACCCCAACTTCCACGTTGGGTTATACTTGAACTCGATGTCATTATATAGTGGGAACGAGTCGTTGCTCTGCAAAGTATTCCCCTCATCCTTCGGGGAGATTGCATCAGATTGCTTTCACAAACTACCAAAGGGAAGTGTGAAGACCTGGGAAGGCCTGGCCGAGATGTTTGTGGCCAGGTTCGTGACAAAGAAGCTGCAGCCATTAAGGGTGGACGCATTGATGGCTCTGAAGATCAGTAAGGAAGAAGGCCTTAGGGCCTATGCAAAAAGGTACTATGAGGTGTTCAACCGAATACCAAAGTGTAATCAAGAGGTGGCGGTCGTATCTTTCAAGAACGGCCTGAAAGACAACTGTCCACTACGAAAATCTTTGGCAAAGACATTGCCAAAAAGCATGGAAGAGCTCATGGCGAGGATTGAGAAGTACGCCAGAGCCGAAGAAGATACACCGAGAACCAAGGAGGCAAAGCAAAAAAAAGGAAACGGCTCGCCAAAGCGAGGCCGAGGTAATGACGGATCCAGCAAGCAGGAGATAGAACTGAGGGCAACACAGGCAGTGACAACTGTGTTTCGAATCCCAATTCACAAAGTCCTAGATCAAATTCGGAATCAACCCTATTTTAGAACACCGGCAAAGGTGCCAGGAGAATTCATGGGAAGGAACCTTGGCAGGCATTGTGCTTACCACAATGAAAACGGGCATATGACTCAGGGTTGCAAAGCCCTGAAAACACATTTGGAAAACCTAGTGAGACAAGGTCATCTGAGAGACCTTATCGATAAGGCCAGAACAAGGGAAGAACAGGCAAGATTGCCTCAGGCGACAACAGCTCCACCTCCCCCAGCATAGCAACCACAAGCAGGAGGATCGCGGGTAATTAATGTAATTCACTCACAGGTCAATGAAAACGAGATTCGGGGGGAGACCCAGAAGGTAAAACATCTGCAGCATGTCTACCAAGTCGGGGAGAGGAGATATCGGGCAGAGAAGTGCCAAGGACCAGTAGTGTCCTTTTCAAAAGCTGACCTTGAGATGGTGCAGTATCCGCATAATGATGCCTTGGTAGTATCCCTCT